AAGAAGAAGAAGAAGAAGAAGAAGAAGAAAAACAAGAACAAGAACAAGAACAAGAACAAGAACAAGAACAAGACCAAGAACAAGAACAAGAACAAAAACAAAAACAAAAACAAGAACAAGAACAAGAACAAGAACAAATAAAAGAAGAAAGAGGTTAATTCTTTCTGACAACATTTAGTGGTCTTGTTCTTTTTCCTAAGCACATTCTGCATGGGCTGGGCTTATCGCCATGTTCAACACATGGAACTAACTTAAAGAGCAGGGCCTACTTTTGAATTGTCCGACTTCGACAGAATTAAATGAGTTGGCAGCCTTAAAAACTCCCCCAAAGTCAAACCGAGTTCGTGATCGCCCCTTCATGGATTCGAACGTGGGTCTTGCATACAATAGCCCACCACAGAAATCCAGAGAGATAATTTATAGGAGCTAAAACACTAGAGAGCAATCTACTCTCATAGTAAGTGTGATTGAACTTATACGTAATTGAAAGTGCGTTAAGTAATTACTATACCTGCCACTGTGGGTTCATTTACACAAAAAGCAATGCAACAATGGAACGTTTAAAGTTTGCCTATTGATAGGTATAGAAATATAGGTCTACCTAAGTCTAGCCTTTATCATTACCTGTATTCACTTTTAATCCCACCACAGAAATCCAGAGACTTACAATATCAACACACTGAAACGGATATCATTCTTTGACAAAAATTGTCTTCCAACTTAAATCTACCTAGAGTACAAAATTTAAAATTGAATACAAGTATTCTAAATGTCCTTTAAAACTGCTGTAATTCCTTCGTGCACTCTGTTAAGTTGGGGTCAGCGAAGAACACTCCAGGTGATTTGCATAAACACAAACAACTTTCTCTCAAATGAAATTGAAAGCACTTTTCACGGATGTATCGGAATGCTGAATTCAACGACGTTGGTGATTTATATAGATCTATACGGTGTCTGCGCGGCGGGGATATTAGCCGACTGTCTTATCTAGGTGGGTTTTGACGAGCTGAGCTGTGACTGCACGCCGCCACGGCCACCGCATGACAGCAAAGCCAAGTGAGCTAACTTGTCTTGCCGAGAGAATGAGGGGGGGGGGGGGAAGAGAGATGAGAGGAATGGTTGGGGTGGGGGGATCTCATGGGCACCCGTTGGGGGGAGGGGGAGGGCAGGGAAGACACTATCACCGACCCCCTCTTAAATCTCCATCCTTCATCAATTATACCCCTAACCCCCCTCAAACACTGTCTCCCTCCTTTTTCCCCTTTCTTAACCAGCGATACTTCCATACCGCAACGCCGTTACTCGCTTTTTTCATCTTCTCTTTCCTCATTCTCTGCGCGTGTGTGTGCGACTGCATGTTTGTGTACGTACGTACGTCTCTCTCTCTCTCCTTCTTTCTCTCTCTCCCCCCCTCTCTCTCTCTCTCTCTCTCTCTCTCTCTCTCTCTCTCTGTGTGTGTGTGTGTGAGTGTGTTTGTGCGTTCGTCTCTTCTCTACAGTAATCGATTATTTCAACAGGGAGGTCGAGTCTTTCTGAACCGTGGAGCAGAATTCCAGGTTTTTTGGATTGTTTTGTGTGAGAACTAAACAAGACATCAGCCATGAGGAAAATCGAAGTTTGGTGTCTGACAAAGCTCAACTGAATACGAAACAAATCGGGTCACACAAGCGTACGTGTAGCGAATCCTTCTGTAGAGGGAACCGAAATGAACGACACCGTGGTGCGAACCACGAAGCCATGATTATCTACACTGTTTGTGTGTGTTATCGAATAGAAAATTCACCTTCGCCTTTGCCGCTGCCTCGCTTGGCGCACTGAATTTGTTTTGTTGAAAGAGAAATTAAGTGAAATGATTCCTTGCTAGACCTATTTTACTGGGAACAGGTTGATAAAAAGATGTTTCGATTCAGTGCACGCTGAGTTTGTTTAGCGGGTGAAGCGTGGAAGATGCCGACACAACATTTAATCGCCTAAAAAGCGATGTCTATCAGTTACAAAGGATATGGGAAGTAAAGAAACCGCAAACTATCAAAAGACGGGGGTTCTTTAAATGGGTGACATGCTGCTCTGATTCAAACGATTAGTATAGAAGAGACACAACTGAGTCATGATGAAATAATTAAATGGTAGTTTGACCTGCAACCGTAAATGATCTTCATTCCGTGTATTTATATATATAGATCTAGGTCAGTGGGTAAAAATCTGTGAAGCTGAAAGGGCGAAAGACTTTTAGCTGATGTTGTCGTTTGTTACAGAAATTAGTAGAATCTTTGTATTTGGTCCGAACGACCTGCATTCTGGTGACCCGTTAAAACTGTCATTCTTGTCAGCCTTACCCTCTGTTTTAGTGGAACTCATTTTTAGATCTAGTTGTTTATTCCCTTTGTATTCATTTTATGAAAATAACCTGTATTGATGAATTTATCCCTTTCTTTGATGGGTGAGGAGGGGTGTTGTTGTTATTACATTACTTTTTTTTAAAGTTTCATTATCTTTCTTTAAGTATTTATAAAGGAATTTGAATTATTTCCTTTTTCGGACTGAGGGGGTGTGTGTGTGGGGGGGGGGGGGGAGGGCACAGTTAATTATAACACAAAGCAAGTTGTTTTAGGGGAAGAGCTTATGCATATATATGTCCACCTCTTATAAAGCAGGCACGAAAACCTTATGCATGTATCATGTAAAATGTGGTTATAGATAGATAGATAGATAGATTGATAGACAGATAGATAGATAGATAAAACAGACTTGCACTAACCCCCCTTTCAACACACACACAGACACATAAAAACGAACAAATACATATTAAACACACACACACACACACACACACACACACACACACACACACACACACACACACACACACTTACACAAATACAAATGCATAGAAATCTTAACACAAATTGTGTATGTCTCTTCATATTCGATGCATGTTTTTCAAATTTAAGACAAATGCACACAATACATAATGGCATATAAACCAGGAATAAGAGCTTGGACCTTTAGTTCAGACGTTCATTAGTTAGACGTCTCAATGTCTGTTTTTCCATGAATAATAATAATATTAGACTACTATACTATGTGTTGGAGTGCAGCGGAATCAGCTGTTCGTAAAATTTTCGGCATATAGGTATAATCACAATACGTCTTCATTTGCATCAGGAGAAAACAATACCCATCTGTCTTGAATAGAACTCGGAAAGGCAATTGAAAGCGATGTGGATAATCTGGTGTCAGGGGTAAAAATTAGCGAGAAAATGGCCACCAAAGTTTGGTGAATTCCAAAGCTTGAGAGTTTTGGGAAACGAAACATTCACTTTTTTGTGCCTTTAATGAACGCCTTTCAGTAAAATCAACACTGAAATGTGTTTTGCAAATAGACATAAAATGTGCGGAGTTAACACAAAAAAACACAAAACAATTGAGAGAAATTGCCCAATCAACGGAGAAAAATGCCAATGTCTTTGTTTTTATTATTTTGTCGAGAGCGTTTCATCCACAAAGCCACACGTATAGATTTTGTTCCTTGTCCCGAAGTTGTAAAATATAATATACATAGACTATAATACTGTAACCAAAAGAGATATTTTACAATGTTATGCACAGTATAAAACTGGAAGGCTCGCACTAGACAGAAAGCAGTACGCCCCCACCCCCACCTCCAATGGCCTCACACACATACATACACCTTGCTTGCACCCCTTTGTATCTTCTTTTTACGCCAGCCAGTACACTTCAAGATAGCATCTCAAAGTGTCCCGAGGGAACTACATTGTTGCATCATTTTATACGTAAGCTGCTATTATTGACGAAGCGTCATGTCCACTACCAAGTCGAAAATTCATTCCGAGCCAGCTAGACAGACGAGAGAGCAATTACATGTAACAGTTTTTGCCAAAGGCAGGGTTTTATATTCCTGGGGAGACTGAGTTCACAACCTCTACCGTAATGAAACTTTTACGCACAGAGCAAGGCACCTTTAACAGGCTGCCTAGAGGGTTGATAGAATAGTGCATGTTAAGAACGAACAATGTACACATTTGAATATATTGCATGCAAATTCATATTCCATAAAGCAGGTACTGTACATTACGGTAGAATTAATTCCATTCATTAAAACCCCGGCACAATAGTAAGGACGATTGTTGTTTTTTCTTTTGCTGTTCCTGCTATTATTGCTTCTGTTGTTGTTGCTAGTGTTGTTGCTGTTGTTTTTTATTTCTCTCCTGTTGCTGTTTACTCTGTTTGTTTGGGTTTTTTTGGGGGGGTTCTTTTTGCTGTGTTTAAAGTTATGTTGTTTTGGTTGTTGCTACTGTTGTGGTTTTGTGGGTATTTGCTGTTCGTTTTTGGTTTTGTGTGGGAGGGTCGGG